TTGGTAAAATGGCAAATTTTACACCTGCATATAATATATGTTTTATTGTTAATGAAAATATGCGACATATTAATATAATTATCCACATGTTTTTTATTCCCGTCTAGTTCTGTTTTCCGACATGTTTTTTTGTCCCAATATTAATAAGTTCATATGTTGTGAAATGATCATTGTTTAAGTTATGAATTATTGTTACTTTTGTACACGGTGTTGTTTTATCTAAATGAAAATACGCTGATAAATGATGTAATAATTAATTGTTTTGTTCGTTTTTTTTGCTTCAAAGAAACTATTTCTAGCGTGTGTTGTTGTTATTGTAATAATTACTAAAGTTGTAAAATGCTGGTGTTGCTCTCGAACAAATAAAATAGCTTTTACAATCGGACATGAAATATTGCTTTTTGCTCCTGATCCATTAATACAATGGAAAACAAACCTATAATGGCCAGTAACGTCATTTCGCTCGACTGTTCATAGTGTACAGTGCACTGAAGAACATACCCAATAAAAACACATTATTGTACGATTCACGCTCAACAGGTACGGGTTTACTAAACGGTTAGTTTGCTGATCGTTTTGAACGCGGTTTACAAACTTGAAACCGGTTACAAAGAGCTAACCGAAAACGCTGTTATGATGCCTTTTGTATGAGACGAAAACCGCATTCAAAGCGCGCTGTGTTTCGCAGCATATGTAACTCCGTATTTAGCGGTATTAGCGAACGCGATCTGCTCTATTCAGTGTGCACACATTGCATAGGGTAATATCGGGCTGTTTCAGTGGTTCGAGCTGATACAGCAAGACTTCGGAAAACCTGCACAAATACAACGACAATCACCCGCGTGGCGTTCATGGGTGCCAAACCTCCAATATGGCCATGTTTCTGGCATGCCCCATGGGGTGCATGGGGTTCGATTGTTCTGTTTTGCCCTTCGAAAGTCGCAGAATCGCGAGGTGAATTTGTGAAATATGGCGCGTAAAAAATGTTGCAGTATTGAATAGTTCAGTAGTTCAGCTACAAATTCAGTTCACACAAAACGGTTCAATGTAATTGTCATTCTTTCAGATTGATATTTTATTAGTCGTGGAAGTTAAAACAGACATGACATTCTTTCTTTTCCTGGTGTGAAAGCAATACAATCAAACATTTATATGCAAGTTCACAATTATGCAACATTATGCAATGATTAATTATATTCAGTGTATACGTGCATTACAGTATAACTAATTTTCACTATGTGTGCAATGTAGAAAGTGTGTGTGCTCAGATTGTTGGCAAAAAAATGTTTTGTTGCTGCTGGGTACTTCGTGATTACAAAAAGAATACAACTAAAACTAAGATTTAATAAACTTAATGCATTCAATATTTTTCCGCTTAAAGGCAAACACGATCATTATTTGCTTTTCATGCATTTTGTTCGTTTCCAATAATAAACAACACTCTAAATCCAAAGAAGAATGTCCAAAACCAAACCTGACGTTTAAGCTCAGTCAAATTACACTATAGAAAACAGTGAAAAAAACATGCACAACTTTTTTTTTATCACGAAACACGATTTCGACCATAGCACTTTATTTCCAAAAATCAGTCAAATTGACTTATCGTTTTATTCCAGTTTTTGGAAAAAAAATTTTTCGTTGAAAAGCGTCATAATGTAGGAATTTCTGTAAAACTTATCTGTGTTGTAAATTTACAATTCCCGTCACTTGCTCAGGCTCCGTTTCGAATCACGAACGGTCGGATTGCATTATGCGATGCTAAAAATTTTGTCCACATGGTCCGCAATGAAACAGAAATCACATCCGGTATGGAATGTGCGCATTTCTATGGGAGGTTTTCGGATAGCATTTGCGCACATTGTCTAACTGCGGCCTTGAACAGCTGCAGCCAGATGCTTTATACATAGGTCATAGGCCACTTCCTTCACAAGATTCTGTGAAGCTCATCAGAGTATCCCAGCGCCCTGTTTGCAGGGCGGGGGTTACCCACGAGCGACGGAGCAGGCGAGCTGGTTCAATCATGCCGTTAGATGGCGCACTACTTCCAAATGAACGTGAAACGATGTGCACGATATATTCACGGTAGCATAAAATGGTACGACAGTAGAGCGCGTAATGAATATGCAAGACTATGACGTCACTAGAAGCTCATGAGTAATATATCACGCACGATACTGATAGATATACATGTAGATGCACACTGTATGTGCTGCATCCCACTTACCGATGATATCACATTTAACAAGTCCTCTTTCTACTGTCGCGCCGCCACCCTCTAGTGTCGTCCCTTTTACCGATGATATCACATTTAACAAGTCCCCTTTCTACTGTCGCGCCGCCACCCTCTCGTGTCGCCCCACTTGATGATCATCGGTAAGTGGGGCAACAGTAGAGGGTGGCGGCGCGACAGTAGAAAGAGGACTTGTTAAATGTGATATCATCGGTAAGTGGGACGACACTAGAGGGTGGCGGCGCGACAGTAGAAAGAGGACTTGTAGTAAATGTGATATCATCGGTAAGTGGGACGACACTAGAGGGTGGCGGCGCGACAGTAGAAAGAGGACTTGTTAAATGTGATATCATCGGTAAGTGGGACGACACTAGAGGGTGGCGGCGCGACAGTAGAAAGAGGACTTGTTAAATGTGATATCATCGGTAAGTGGGACGACACTAGAGGGTGGCGGCGCGACAGTAGAAAGAGGACTTGTTAAATGTGATATCATCGGTAAGTGGGATGCAGCACATACAGTGTGCATCTACATGTATATCTATCAGTATCGTCCGTGATATATTACTCATGAGCTTCTAGTGACGTCATAGTCATGCATATTCATTACGCGCTCTACTGTCGTACCATTTTATGCTACCATCAACTATCGATCACAAGCGTCTTGGGCCAAAACTTAGTTGAAAAGGGGATGTCATTAACTGGCTTTCATACTGTGCAAACAAATCTAAACATGGCATAGGTGGGTCAAAACTGGAACCCACTTGAACCCAATTAGTTTAGGCCCACAATATGTGGAAAAACAGTGGGTACCAGAAAAGTGATTAAATTCTAAGCAACATATTTACAGTGTGGTATTGATTTATAAATCTTACAAAATAATTAATAATCTATGAATGCTCTAAAACCACGAAATACTAAGGAAGATATCCATCTGTGAAAATGATCTTTGCCCCCCCCCCCAGCTGATTGTTTTCACAATTGTTTTTTTTATTGGTTAGATAGTTCTGACATCAATCCCCAAAAAGCAAACCCGCTCAAAACCATTATAATGCGCCGTGAAAATGGGTATATAATTTGCAATATGCATAATAATGGTCAGTTTCGAAGAGCACCTCACTTGAAAGGTGGGTACCCCCCCCCCCCAGCTATTTGATTTTACGGAGGCCAAGTGTCCGGAGGAAAATAAAAACATGTCTACATTTTGGCGCGGATGTGCGGTTGCCCCCCCCCCCCGACATCCAAAGCTGGATACGCTACTGTCCTCCTCACATCAGCCGAACTGTGTTTACAATAATTGTAAAATGGCATATTTAATTCTGCGCACGACAGAATTGAACCTCCGACTTTAGTTACTTGGGTTGTTTTTCTCCGAAAAGAATCACTGAAAAAGAACTAATAGGTAGGCCCACCTAATTTGAATGATAATAGCGAGGGTGTTCTACAGGGTGACCCCACCCCCCACCCCCCCCCCAAAGGCAACCCTAAAACATTTGCCTTAAAAAAAAAAGGATTGGTGGAATTTTATGTTTTTAATATCAGATTAAAACTGAGAGCTATTTCTTTCAAATACTGAAAAATAATGAAAATAGCACTTTGGGTTGCTGAGAAAATGCCAATTATGCAAAAGTAGTAATTTTTCATCCTGTACACAAAACATTACCACAGTAAGGGATTTTTCACTGTACCCTATTTGTGCTTGTCCTAATTCTTACAAACAACATGGCACATATTATGTTACAAGAGTACAAATGAATTTGATGGAAATACCTTTTATTTTCCACCTGAACATGGATCTCATCATTTTAGTCCTATTTTAAACCCTTTCAGCATCATAAATATGTCAAAATACTAAAGAAATTGCACAAATGAAGGATAACTGCACAGTAGGCTTACTGTAAAATGTTTCACTGTTTGAAGTACTTGTGTACAGGATAAAAAATGACTACTTTTACATAAGGCCAAAAAAAAAGTCTCCGGTTTCTGGTACGGAGCTTGCCCAAAAAGTGGTGCGGCGACGCGGCTTTTTTTCTTTTTTTACCTGATTTTTTTGCTTCAAATGTCGGCTGATGACTGCAAATGGTGCCCGACTAAACTTATTGCAAATATATGGGAGTCCAGAGAGGTCACATAAAGCTTATTCTCGACCATAACCTAATCTTAAAACACGTTAAAATTGTGCAGCAGCAGGATTCCAGTCAAACCAGTGAGTTTGGCGGTTTTGAGACATCATCTTTCATTGAAAAAAAAACTTTTTCATTTTGCCGACGCGCATGGCTACGGCGACGCGCGCGCATACCAGAAACCGGAGACTTTTTTTGGCCTAATTGGCATTTTCTCAGCAACCCAAAGTGCTATTTTGATGATTTGTTTTCAGTATTTGAAAGAAAAAGCTCTCAGCTTTAATTTGATACCCAAAACATAAAAATCCACCGATCCCTTTTTTTAAAGGCAAATGTTTAAGGGTTCCATTTTTTTTTTTTTTGGGGGGGGGGGGTTCACCCTGTATATGAAATGTTTGATCTAGAATCATGCCTCTTTCACAAGTAAGTCCAACCATAATTACATTTACCAGACAGTATAACTGAAAAGTTTGGGGTGAGGAAAGTTTTTAGAAATTGGGTTGTGGGAGGTTTTTTTGTTTGTGAACGAAGCTATGCACGGAATTCTAAAGGTACAATTTCGGTAATTCTAATGACCCAAAGTATTTCGATGCGCTCATTGAACGCGTTTCTGCAGGGGGGGGGGGGGGGGGGGGGTTGACAGCGGCGTATTCTAGGGGTATACCTGGGGGTGCACCAATTTTTCAAAGGGGGCACTGAAGATAACGTATACATTGGTTTTGTGCAATTCAAGATTTCAAATGGGGGACACCGGGGTTATGGACCTCCCCCGTATAGTTACGCCAACGGTTTTCAATATCTCGGTGTCGTGTCCGGTATGAGGCTTTGTGTCGGGGGATTTCCAGGCCCCTAACAAGGTGGATCCATCCTGGCTCAGCAGGTCAGTGTTCTGCTTCAACTTCGAGACCTTACAACCTTTATATGAAATATTAGGGTCAATGTTGAGAGTATTTTCTGTTTGAGTTCACCTCTGAGGCGAGAGATGAGACCGATGCCGGTGACAAAGCCAAAGTTTAAATGTCTCCTCAGGCTAAGCTTCCACCGGGCCAACAGATGAACATTTGCCGCATCGGAGCCTGTTAAGTGCTCGTCTTGCCTCGCTTCGAAATGATGCATTGAAGACATAGTAGATGCAGACGTTAAAGAAGCTGTTGGAAGCAGCCAACCAAGTCGTCACAAACACTAACCAGTTCGGTAAGGAGCTTCCAGATACAGCAGCGTAGGCCCTGGAGCCTTGGATTGGCATCCAACATAAAGCAAAACACACAGTGACCACCAAGAAAGTGCGCACGGCCTTAGTGTCGGGTCCCAGGCTACGGGCAGCTTTCTGCACGCCGCGTTGCCCGCCGACTTGAGCTTGAATTTTCCGGGCGTGCTGCCGACTGATGTGGATGAGCCGAAGATAGATAAAAACCATAATGACGACCGGAGCCACAGCTACCACTACAGTCAGCGTGATCTCTAGAACGGCTGTGCCGTGTTCACCGATGCACAACACGCTGGCTGGGATGTATGACATGGGCATTATCAACCAAATGCGGATGACTACCAGAGCAATACACAGGATAGCTGCCACAGTCACCGCAGCAAGCACATTGCGCCTCTGGAACCACACCTGGAACCTGAACGGGTGAGTGACGGCAACGTAGCGCTCCAGGTTCAACAAGCAGATGAGGCACACAGATAGAGTCACTGAAGTCAAAGCTACGAAGCCTTGAATACTACAGACGATGCTTCCAAACGGCCAATGGTCCAGAGCCGAGGCTACGATAGTTGGGATGGCATACAGACCGACCAGTAGGTCATTAGAAGCCAGTGATATCATCAGAATCTTACTGCTCTCGGCTAAGTCTTTGATTCGACGCACAACAACAATGGAGAAGACGTCACCAACCACGATGAAGATGGCGATGAGGGTGATGAGCGTCGTGCGAAGGGCGAGTACAGCAGGGGACAGAGGAGTTGAAGCTTCCGCTGATGTAGGTTGAGGCAGGGAAGTGAAGTTGTCGGTTTGGTTATCCATCATCTGCAGCTGATCATTGATTTGTCCGACCATATACAGGTAGTTCAGTGCAATAAATGGATGTCTTGCACGAATAGTCAGTTGCACAACTTAATATGATTGAATTGGTGTACGACTAACTTCAGTTACTGACTTCAGTCACACTGACTTCAATCAATCACTTTCATCAGTTGAGATTACAGAGACGCTTGGCAAACCCGTGTACAAATGGGAAAAAAATGCTTTCCGGCTGAAGAGTCTCCAGGTGAGATGTCAGATTGTTACTGAGCGTACGAAATTGAAGGAAGAAGAAACAGCCTAAGTGTTATAACCACATCAAGCTTAATGCTTAGTCACTGAGGACGAGAAAATATAGAGGCAGGGTGAAGTGCCACGCGGCGAGGGTGTCTTTCTTAGTGAAGGCGACGTTTAAGGCAGGCCTACTGCGGCTTGCTCTTTGTCCGGTTTAGGTACACAACTTTTGTGGACTCAGCGATCATCCTCTCGCTCCACCGAGCCGTATATTTAATGTTAAAGAAAACGCAGGTATATTCGGTTGTTGGCCTCGACGAACATGATTGCTCCAGTTAATTGTCTCCAACTGATGGGCTGATGTCTTCATTCCACGCAACGCAAACTTGTCCGACCTGTAATGACGGCCCCGCTGTCTGAAAGCAAAATAATTAATGTGTATATAGTGAGGTTGATTAAACCAATGCAAAAAATAACGGAAAACGACGGTGCTCCGGAGACAACAAGAGGTCGGTTATCAACAACTAACACAAACTCTGGACCGAGAAGAGAAGAGCGGGTTGTGTAATGAAGGACTTCCTGCGCCCTGTTTACTTAAGCGTGATAGGATCTTTCACAAAAGCTTGGTGTGCTGACATTACCTATAGTGATGATGTTTCCTCCGCTGAGATACCGCTCGCCCCTCTGCATGGTTCAACCGCAAACTTCACCATGCAAACCTTCAATAATTCATATCACCAACAGACTGCTCCGCTTTCGAACTATGATCCTCAACTGTCTTTTTTTTTCAAGTTTCACGCAGTGGATTTTGCATCGTGAATAATTTCAATAAACCATTCTTTTCATTTTTGGCCATGTAGGCCGTTTCTTTTTCTTTGTTGTGATGTAAGTTCAATAACAAATTTGACTAGTCTCTCAAAAAGACGAACGCCCAGCGAGCGTATACAAGACGGCTAGTCTTGACCTCCAGATGTCTTCGACAAACCGATGACGCAAATGAGTAAAACATATAACACACTATACATGCTCAAACAGCTGATTGCACGTAACCAGTGGAAAGCAAAATGTACCACAATGACACTGGCAATTCAGAATAATCAATTTTAAAAAATTCGAATTTTTCTCGAAATTGTGGAATGTGGGTGGGTGGGTCAAAGGAAATACCAGTAACTGAAAATCGAAATTTAGTTTGAGTAATAGAAACAAATAATAAAAGAAGAAAGGAAAAAAATACCCAGCAGCTTCTTCGAGATCGTCTGTCATGTACATGTGGGCCTATGTGCTTTTCCGTTCAATATCATCGGTCAACCTTGTTTCGATAGCCGACTTACGCCTCTCGATAGACCACCTTGTTCCAACGGTAGATAAATGGGGAGATAGTGAGTGACCCTTATTAGAGCATTATGGGGATGAGGTTGAGTTCAGCGTTGTCAAGTAGACATCAGTCGTTAATTGTTTTTTGTTTGTTTGTATCCAACGCGCGTTAGGTACATCAGTGGCGCTCACTCAACGGTGAAACTATAGTGCAATGCCGACATGTATTTTTGCGATAAACATACCGTCACCGACACCACGAACTGACACCCGGTGGTCAGCGTTGCAGAAATACAAATCGGAGAAAAACGCTTTTCAAGGTTTGACACGAATTTACTCAGCAAAATATTTCATTTATCTTAGAGGTTTTAGTATCACTCAACGTAAAAATGCTTTCACTACTCAATTATAAATGTTATATTGTAAAAATCTGCTTAGTTAATTAGCAATTAAATGATTAAGATGGGTGTCAGTTCGTGAAAACCAAAATGTACGTGTTTTCGGAGAGTGCGCGCATGCAATAGCGTTAGTGAGTGTCAGTTCGTGAAAACCAAAATTGACCAGTTTTGAGAGAGTGCGCGCACACACTGCGCATGCGTGCGCGCACTCTCCCCAAACGCGTCAATTTTGGTTTTCACGAACTGACACTCACTAACGCTATTGCATGCGCGCACTCTCCGAAAACACGTAAATTTTGGTTTTCACGAACTGACACCCTGTGCAGTGTCACTTCGTGGTAACCAAAAATACCAGAATTGACAAATTTCTTGAAAATTCATTAGTAAAATTCGCTTATTTTAGATGATTCCAGCAATTTTAACCTCGTCATGGCAAACTTCATGATACAAACTGCTAATATGTGCAAAAAAAGAAAATTTGAATTTTTAATTTTTTTTGTACACATGTGATGCAGAGGGTGTCAGTTCGTGGTGTCGGTGACGATACATGTACATGTACATGGCTGCTATCACGGTTTTGTGCGAGATCCCGCCGGATGTACAACGCTTTTGGACACAGCAAATGAAGAAGCCGAAATCACCATTTTATTAACATTTTTTAAATATAGTGTCATACAAAAATGAAAAACATTGTACAAAGCCATGTGTGCTTGGCAATTTCCTCTTTCAACTATAAAGTTGCACGCTGGAAGGCTGGAAAAGCCATTAAAAAAATCTGAGCTGGGAGAGCATATTGACCTAAAATATCGGCTTCATTTGAAGCATTACTTTGTTCGTCAGTGTATTTTGAATAGTCAGCCAACATTTAAAAATCGTTATTTGGGGTGGGTGTGTGGGGGGGGGGGGGGTGTCAAAATAATTTCGAAAAAAAAATTCGAAAGTTTTAAACATTGACTATTCTAAATGGCTCCAAACCCGTATAAAAATGGTTTCGTAGAAGTCTCAAGAACGGCATGCGCACTTTGTAAGAAGGTAATTTCGGCACAGTTTGAAGTTGTGATGAAGGAAATCTAGAAGGCGCGGGTAGGCTCGCGAGATAACTAGGCCTATACTACATGTCTACGTGTTAATTAACCACGCAATACACGCATCAATTTACCCACCGATCGTATCGTTCCTGGACTGCCATGCAAACTAAACAACCCGGCTAAATCTTCGACCTTTGTGAAAGGCAAGACGTGCAATTATCACGGGCGTCGCTAGAAGGGGTGGGGTGGGGGAGGGGGGGGGTTGACACCCCATTAATCTTTTGGTGGGTCAAATCGTATGTCCATCGACAAATTAACCGGGTTAAAGATTAGTGCTTGATAGCGTCCATGATTGTCCGCTTTGAACAGTGCTCCCTGTAGGTAGGTGCTGTGGGCAAATTTGTTCCCCCTCCCACCTCCGAGTCCCCACACTCAAAGTGGTCTGGCTACGGACGCTTCAGATAATTAGTTTTCTTGTCCGCTAATGCAGTCACTGATTTATTTGGTGCCTCTCCGAAAAATAATAGCAAATCCATCAAAGTACGTGTATGGTACAAACATAATTATTAAAATACAAACTAATAAAATGACGCTAATGTGACAGGCATGGGTCATTGTGACTGACATTCTTACGAAAAGCACACGAACTCAACAAACGGGACAAAACTTGGACCCCACTCTGTCGTTCATTATGGTTGTCCTGGTAAAAAACCGAACGGCCAAAAAAAAAAAAAAAAAAAAAAAATGTTTAGCGTCCCCGCCCCCTCCCCTTTTGGAGGCCCCAAAATGATAAATTTTAAACAGTGACTTCATTTTGGCCTCTTCATCTGTTGCATCTCGCCCATATAAAGCTGGTATGTAATTTCCTGAGTCCAAGTGGCGGCCACTTAAAAAAAAAAGCTGGCGGCCATCTTGAAAAATAGCCGGGTCGGGCGGCCTTTTTGGAAGGGAAAAAAAAGGAGCCGGGCCTCCTCCTTCCTTTTTTACAAAAAGGCAGGATGCTAAACATGTTTTTTTTTTACTTGGCCTAATAGCTTTTTGGCAGTATTCTTGTTGATGCTGAGAGCAAACGGAGTTAATTGGGCTAAAAGCTAAAAGCATACATTACTGTCACTTTGGAAATATCAAGGTTGCTCTCTGTAGCCTTCTTTGTAACTCCAGAACCAAAGATAGGTCCATTACGTGTTCGTGTCTTTTATCTCTTCATTTTATTCCAGTTTTCTTTCTCTTGTTTTCAAACGCTTCGTACAATATATCTGAGAGGTATCATTTCACGTATATTACATTATATACAGTTGATTTCCATATAACTATCTTCTTTCGATTACAATTAAATAATTAATATACTCTCATAGAATTATTTCGTTAACTACTTTATCAAACCAAAAAATCTATTAACTTTATTTTGAAGGTATCTTACACGTTAATATAACGTTATTAATAAAGCTGGCTCAATTTTTCTCGCATCCTATTTTTTTCATCCTTGTATTTTTTTTTAATAATCTAGAAAAAATAATGAAAGTCGTCATTGTTTTACAAGAACTTGCTTACTGACATAACACATACATCTGAATCAGATGAGTCGCTCTACATCCCGGAAGCTAGAACACATGTCCACATCATATTGATTTATTTTGGGCAACAATACGATTTGGTACGCACGAAGATACCTGGCTGGCTAGGAATGGTACTCCCAATAAACGCTTGTCATGTCAGCAAACTTGGGCGTCTTTGGAATATTATTCCCTGATTTGTTCTCTCTTGGCGTTGACAGTAAAATATCTAGTTTCTCATAGTGGTATACGTACTTTGCTCTTCATTTCAGCATTTTCACACACTATGGTCATTTAGAATGAACTTTTGATTCACTTACGAAAAGACAAATGAAACAAGATCAAATGCCTAACAGCACAAACATAATCGTTGATATTCAAAGCAACAACGTATAATTATATAGATATTTTCTCTGAAAGATTGTCTCAAGAACATTATTCACAACGTGTTTTAAAATTTCATTTTGAACACGTGTAAACATGCAAGTTCACGACACGTGTATCATGCACAATGCCACATCCTGCATGTGCGCACAGCAGCACATGGTTTTATAATTATACGCCAATGCAGTTTTCTTTTAACATGGTGCATTTGCCGTTATTTTCTGAGGAAAAGCCTCAAACGATGCGTGCATGTTTACACTTTTCGAAGGGAAATTAACTATCATCCACAATTTCTTCTGGCTAACTTGATTTCACCACAACACAATACATCTACAGGGAATGGAAAGACAATGATAATTTGGAAACAATTATCAACAAAAGTAAATATTTAAAGTAACAAAATCATCATAACTTTTGTAGGACGTACAAAATACACTTTTTGAAAGTATTTTCTTGTTGTTCAAATTTGCTTGGAATTATGAATACCACTTTTGAAGGCAACTGTTGCAACTTTCAGACTTACAGATTCAGGATGTAGTAGTAAACCAACTAATGCAAATAACTGTAAAATCAAGAGATTTAAATATGGCTAATGAATATCAATCTGCATATCTGAATATACGTACAGGAATATGAATAAACATAAGGGAATGTCTTTGGTTGGTTGGTTCGCTTAATTAAATGTGCATAAGCAAGAGTACACAAGTAAACTATTGTCCATACACATACAACTGAACTTACAGCACAACATGTCTGAAAATAACAAGTATATTTTTGTCCAAATTGAGACAATCATTTCTTTACAGTGCAATTATTTCAAAATAATAGAAAGCTTTGGTGCACGTTAACTGCTGCATTCAAAACTCCGTTGGAAATTAATGAAAAGCAATATAAGTTACAAAGCCTGCATTTACTAGGTTCAAATTACTTAATTTCAGACTGTTTAGAGTTGTCATTTATGAAAAATCAATTGACAGCTATCACCTTTCACTGTAAAAAAGGGGCAAAACAGTAATGGAAACATATACATTTATTTGGCACATTCGAACGGTATTATTTTAAGTCACTTAATTTTCCTAGATGTTGGAGTTGGCTGGTGTAGTATCCCTTTTTAATGACAGTATTTGGGTCGAAAACAAATTTGTCTCAAAAGAATCCACAAGCCTCTTCTGCTTCACCAAACATTCATGAGTAAAATGCGTAATAATCTTTTTCTTACAGCCATAGAATATTCTTATCTGCATCTAAATGCTATCATCTTGAAAGTTACGGGATCTCTTCTTTGAGTGTAATTTGGTCCATGAATATTTGTGTTTCAGAACTGGCATACTTTAAACTAACCTTACAAAATGCAATGTTCTCCATATACTTGAAAAAGAAGGGTGTAATATGTACGGGCAAATCTACTGGTCATTTTAGGGACTGCCTCGTTGGACTAAAAAAAAGTGCAAATAAGAAAAATTGATGAATAGTTTGAGTGGTCGTACTCTTAAAAGTCTTGAAGGCTGAACACTTTGGCATCTAGACCTGCGGCAGTTTTTATAGGAATATTATGCCATCAACAGATTGATCATGTAACATCTGAAGTCATTACACTGCTGCATTGCCTGATTCAGGGAAAACTACAAAACCTTGAAATACTTAGAAAGATGAGGGGGAAACCCCAAACAAGCAAAGAAAACCGGGATCTGTGGTGAACTCAGAATGGCACGCATCTCTTTGGCAGAGATTTAACCTGCCTTAGTGAGCAAACGTACAGGAATGAATATAAATCTGTCAATTGTAAAACGTTTCTTGACTTGAAGCAAACAACACAATATCAAAAGTAATGAAGTGAAAAAAGTGACTATAATGTTAACGTAAATGCTCAGATGTCACATTAAATTTTGTATCTGAAATACAGTTTCAAATGTGGCATCGGGAACGTAACACAAATGCTGAACTGAAAACCCAAACCTCTTGAAAATTAAGAAAAGAAAATGCTTCAAAAGATGAACAAAGTGATAGAGAAAAACAAAGGTGCTAAACTACTTTACAAACAACTTTACTTGACACCAGCCGTCTTTTGTCAGACAGAATATCTTACTGGCTGACAATGTATTAGAATCAGAAATCTCAAAAGAAAAAAGGAACAAAAATGACTTGAAATGAGACTAAATTCTATGATTGATCTACATATGACACACAAATTTCAGTTCAGTTTCCAGATATATGAAAAAAATGTGCGATCACACATTTTGTACATTTTATCAGCAACTTGGATATAATCTGTAATAGCAAAGAGTTCAAAAGTTATCTGAATGTATTTGGCAAATGTAAATTGAAACTTTTTTGGTGGAATGCACATGTTGAAGAATTCTTCATAAATTAAATACCATTAGATTGGAATATACCTTTTTCATAAAAATTACATGGAATTTTCTTTAATTTTTTAATTGCTTTTGAAAACAAGTGTTGAATGTCTTTCCATCCTGATCAACGAAATCAGAAGCATTGACAAACACACATTAATTAACTAGAATCAACTTGAATACATGTACAAGTCATTCCTTCACATGTAGGGACACACGTTAATAGGGACATGAACTTGTCCGAGACATTTTCAAACTTCATACATCATCAAAGAGAATATTTTAAAAGCTCACTCTTGCTGATATTGTCAATATTCAAAATACTTTTTCATGTAACAAAAAAATATTGAACATATTTATGACATGTGCATGTCATTTCAAAAATCAGCACGAAAATTGTACATTGTATCGCATAGAAAATGACAAAACATTTATAGCGGTTGAAGTTTTTGGCAGAAACGTTGAAAAAAATTTGTACAAATGAATTGATGACCTCGATGTTAAAATACAATCTAATAGAATAGAGATTAGCACACATCATACAACAAACAATTTCTTCAAATCTCACCCAATCTCAACAAAACTCACCCAATGTTTCAGCACACTAGGCGCAGCATTCAAGCTGGATTTTTAAAGACTTGCCTTTTTTTCTTTGTTTAAGGAAAACACTGCAGAATGGTCTTTTAGTCATCAAATGCCTCGCTTGGTGGGACATATGTGAAGCCAGTAAAGGCAGAGTCTGCTTCCTGTACGCTGGCGCTAACCATGTGGGACTCAATGGACCGACCAACTGACTGCGGTACAGGCTCACGAACAAACTCAGGGTCAATGTTCTTGGTATCCATGTTGCTGCTCTGAAATAGACAAAGTGTGTTTTGACACGGTGTTAACACTTATCTATTTAAATCAGCAGTTAAAAAGGATTTTATAAGTTTGATTAATTCATAGTAATTTATTAGTGCTTAGATTTCTCTTGTAATTTGAAATTGTATGCACTTTTGATCACTATTATGTGAAAAGCACGGGGATGCCATGTGTCCCTCGGGTGTGAAAATGCCATGTCCAACATTGTGTTCAAATTAGTCAACAATCAGGGGCGGCGGAACGGGGGGGGGGGGGGGGGGGGGGGGGGCTGGGGGGGCGTTTGCCCCCCAGATTTTCCCAAGTGCCCCTTTTGCGGCCATAAATGTGCCCCCTCGAGATAAATCAAAAATGCCCTTAAAGTATCTTACTATTTCTTAGAAGTAACCATTTCCCAATAATGGTAGAGATATTTTGATATAAACGAGGAATATGAAAACCAAGTCCCAAAACCCATACAAGACGCCCTGAGAATGGGCACATAATGTATGTTTAGCATATAATCATTGGTTTTGAAGAGCGCCCCCTATGTTGGAAGATGGTACCACCCCCCCACCCCCCCACTATTTGATTTTACGGAGGCCAAGTGTCCGGTGAAAAAAACGTGTCGACATTTCAGCACGGGTTTGCAAGTGCCCCTTTTGGGTGCTGCCCCCCCAGTTTCAAACCCGTTCCGCCGCCGCTGTCAACAATTGTTACATGTTAAGTTTTGGTTCAGTGGCAAAATTTAGCTAGCAAGTAACACATCTTGCATTTTAAGACCTACAGGCTCTAGATATGCACACAAGCTGAGAGGAGTCTTGGTATGATGACAGGGAGTACTTACAACACTAGGATTGAATGGAGGTGTGATCTCTCTAGCGTACAGTGCCTCCCAGTCGATGGGATCAAAGAACTCATGGGTCTTGATGACTTGGAAATCTTGGTCCCCTGCACCAAGTCTCTTCTTGCGGTCTTTCTGGAGCATCTAAATAACAACAAGAAAACATAAAGCTCAATATTACAGATGCCATCTTAAAACGTTCTGGACATTTTGCAAAAGACACCTTTAGATGACAGGGAAAACAGAGGAAACACGACAAATGCATCGAACAAGTCTCCTGCAACTTTGTAGCATCAATAAAGAATTAGTATCAAAACGCAGCTGAAATGTACGACCAGTTTATTAGAAGTTGCCTCTAACATATTTAGAAGCCATTCATTGAGAGAGGCTCAATGATACTGGACAGCATGCTAACAAACCCACAAAGCCACTGGTAGTGGTGTCCACATGTAAATGGCTTGACAACACATGATATGCATTACTGCACAATATGGATGGAATCCATTTTGTGTCCAAAATTAAAGACCGTTTTGTCACAGCTTACTGAGGCTAAGGCTGCATCCGAATCAGCTGTCTAGAGCTAGGTCTAGGTCTGCGCCCATTGAAAATACGCGGGGACGCGCTGACAATAGACGTAGCCGTAGTTCTGGAAGCCCGTTTCGGACACGGCCTAAGACTCTGTTCTATAGCAAGTACACTATTCAATACTGGCCAATCGATAAAAAAATAGTGAAGACAAGGCCAACATGGTTTCCAAAACTGTTCCCAACTGTTCTTGAACCTTAAAATGTGCACACACAAACAATCACCAAATTCGACTGTTCAAATCATTGAGCTTTGAAATGTGTTGACTGTGATCCTGCGGTCTGGCTACTCACCCCTTCCAGAATGACTTTAGCTGGAGCAGAGAAGTTGCTCTTCATTCGCAGCGGTTTGTGGAGAATGTTGTCGTACATCTCGGCAGTGTCTCTGCTATAAAATGGTGGCTGGAAAAAAGTACAAAGTTTTTGAATGACAATAAGTTCAGTCTCCCAAAATTCAGGGCATTTTCATTGCTCAGTTAATCAGTGTTGGAGGTCTCGACCAAAGTCTTGGTCTCGAGACTAGAGACCATTTTTTTCAGGCCTCGACGATTTTGAGGTCTCGGAATGTTGTGGTCTCGGTCTCGACTCCAAATGTCTCGGTCTCGGACAAAAGTCTCGGATCAAGACCTTGACGAGACCCGTTAAATATTCCAAAGTGTTTGAAGACAATTATTCGATTAACAGCTTATGGAGTCGACACTGTATCACCAGGGCTAATCATAACGCATAGTGCATGTCAAAGAATTTCCGCACGGAGAGCACGCTTATCGCTAGCATATCGCCGCTCAGTTAGTAGCATGGACTGTTTGTCAAAAATCCGTGTACAAACCGTGTGTCGTGACGTCCGTCACATGCGTGCATTGACTGATGGCGACAACTATAGACTGTGTGAAAAATACATTGCACACTGCACGCACGGTGGATGTGTGTAGTCACTGCATGTAAACATCCATGCTGAAAGGTTCTCGCTCGTAGTATAACGGTGTAACATTAATATTTCAGAAATTATTTTGAGTTCACGTTTAATCATCATAAAGTGCTGTCTTGTCGAATTAGAAATTATGTCAAGTAATTCGTTAATCATAAAATTTGCTTTTAAGGAGCATAAAGAGTTTGTGGACAAAACATCAGGAAAACGAAAGGACTCGGCTACCTGCAGATTTTGTTTCAGTCAGAAGCGTATTACCGACTAGACTTGGTGCCAAGTCGGCTATTGTTCACGTACGTACGGTACCGGTTCCACGCACGCAAAATATCACTGCAATGCACGAAGCCTGGTTCCCAGACCAACTGATGCTGACTATTGATGTTCAATAACTGACTTGGCAAAAACGCTTTCTATTTTGTACACAACATATAAGAGTATTTTGAATCGCTGGCGAATTCTATGCGAGCACTCTGACTGGTTCAGATTCCAGTGTGTATTCTAGGCCTCAACAGAAGGTCATTCCCATTACTTCGAGGGTTTGTGCTTTGTGTTGTGAAATATTCCAAAATTCATTATAGGGCATACACGACTCAAATAAATGCAGGCATGCAACTTGGAAGAAACCAAAAAAGAGGAAACTCCAATCTTTACAAGACTTTGTGCAGTGTTTTTCAATTTTTAATGGCATAAGTGTGAAGTGAAAAACGAGGAAATCAGCTGATCCGAGGAAAAGTTGCATGCCTGTAAATGAAGTATATCACAATGATACATTTTTTTCTATACACAATTGACCAAGCTGAGTGATTTGGCCGTTAAAACGTCGCCCGATCTGCAAATATGTCCCGACGTATTGAGAAGAACTCCCCATGTAACGGAATGAACGAGTCCTCATTTGCATTGCGGTGCGCCATTGGATCTCACCGCAAAAATGCACTGCATATGTATTGCGCTTCACGAATATATGAATAACGGTGGAGAAGTTAACCTTCAAGTTGTTAGATATGTGACATATCTAGTCGCAGCCTGGCCGATTAGTACTAGACTTATACCGGCCGCGCCAATGGAGTTCGACTGAAGTTCACAGACAAAATACGACTATCTAACGACTTGTCATCAAGTCTAATTACCGACCAGGCAGGGACGAGTTCGGCCTTGCGTCTAATAATAGTTATTTTCATGTTAAAAAAGTAATCAAATTATCAGCAAGCTTTGACTTGATGAGTAGGATTGAAGCTGAGTGATTGTACGTTTTTATTTCGGTCCTCAAAGTTTTCACGGAACATGGGCGCCGCCATCTTGGATTGAGTGCGCCCTCGCACGTTATTTATTTATTTATTTATTTATTTATTTGTTTATTTATTTATATATTTATTTTTTAAATGAGGTCTCGGTCTCGGTCTCGGACTATGAGGTCTCGGTCTCGGATGGGGAAGTCTTGGTCTTGGACTATGAGGTCTCGGTCTCGGACTTTGAGGTCTTGACTCCAACACTGCAGTTAACCGTGGAAATATGTGCCTACAATCTGTGTTTACAGTGATAATACAGAAATTACATGTATGTACTGGTACCTGTCCTGTAGTTATCAAGGAGGTATAGAATCCTTAGTTATGGGCTCCGGGCGCCAACAAAAGAGGGTGCTTTTTGACCATTTTTGAGAGCCCCATGGATGGGACACACCACGTGTGCATAGTGGTTCACACGCGTATAGCTCACCATTAAGTTTATTCTAAATGCGCAAAAAGCCATAGCGTCTTCGTGTGAGCGTCAGGCATCGGTGGTGCGTTTGAATGTCTCTTCCAATGGGCTCCCTAGTCTGGTTCCCAGACCAAAGGATCTATTTCTGATGAATCGTAGATTCATCAGAAATAAAATTCGCAATCTTTTTGCAGGGAAACAAGATTAAGGTCTCCCTCCATTATCTCTTTTTGCCGGTGAGGTGGTACTTGTGAACGAAGCCCATAGAATGTACACACATGCACAAGTCCAAATTCCTTGCTAACCTGTGAAGATGTAGAGTTTCCTGCTATAATAAGTTGGAATCTTTGCTAATGGTAACAACGGCTAGAAATTAGACCCGTATATGAAAATCAAGACTTTGTATTACGCATCCCCCTTGGAAAAGGCTTCAGAAAGGGAGGATCAAGCTAGAAACCAAGCATATCATCTTACCAATCCAGACAGCATTTCATACAGCACTGCACCTAGGCACCACCAGTCTACACTACGATCATACTCCTGTTTCTTCAAGACTTCTGGGGCAAGGTACTGCACACAAAGACAGTCAGGAACAACAATACAAAAACAACTCAGATATATGGGTAGTGATAAAAGAACTGGCTCAATGTGAACACAGAGCTGCAAACATTTGCATTTTGCAATCAGGGAGAATTTGTACATCAATCAGGGAGATACTTAGAATTACATTCAACATAATAGGGAAAAAGTTTCTATAATCAGGCTGATTTTCAAATTTGTTCATCAAAACATGGAAAGATTGGTTTATTTTCAGGGATCTTTCTGCAGAATCAGGGAGAGTTGGCAGCTCTGTGAACATAGAGGGCAGCAGATACAGGTCCATATATATTTGTGGGGGGTCAATTGGTAGGGGGCCAAAGACAAAAAGACAGATGTGTCCAAATAACATCAATTGATTTCTTGCCGAAAAGTCAACTGTCTCCCATTCAAGAGATCCATATACTTTGTTCAAACCAGAAATTAGTTTTGGACAAAGTGTACTGTATGATTTCAATTTTGAGCCAATTATGACTAAGCTGCCGAACCGTCAAAAATCCTAATAGCTTGGTTTACTTCCGTATACTTTTCAAAGATTGAGAATCTCTACATTCTTTACTCCTGGTGATGTTGCAACTTAAGGAATAACTAGGTTTGTCTGTGAATCAACACAACGTGGGAGACAAGAGGAAGCAGAGAAGGAATGATGTCATACCTCCGGTGTTCCACAGAATGTTGAGGTAGTGCCTTTGGCTGCGATACCTTCCTTGCACAGACCAAAGTCTGTCAAGACAACATGCCCCTCACTGTCAATCAAAATGTTCTCCGGCTTCAAATCTCTGCAGGTAAGACAAATCAGCCAAAAAAAACAAAACTTTTGTAAACAAAAACAAAATTTAATCTGAAAAGTCCCACATTCAACAGCTAGCCCGTCAATGACTAAGCCAATTTGATGGTACTGCTGTGCAAAGACATGTGGTAAGTAGAAGAAATACATGTATCCTACATATTTCATATATATCTTAGGAATAAAGACAAGGTAACTGAGTACTCTGCATGAGACTTTGGAAAAACATCTTACCACAGAGTTACATGTACAAATTGCAGGACTCAGACTAAAGTCTGATTCCTCTGGAAACTACCTGGACTTTTTCAGCATACCTTTACACCCAAATCTTCTCATTGCAACCCATAATCAAAGTCACGAAAGCAGTCCACAAGTGTCATGTTTTTTGGACTTAACTCCTATAAACTTGACTACAATTCCAATCAACTTGAATAATGGAATGTTTGTGTCAGGGAGATGCAAATTTCAATATTAGGTATTGCCCTGATTGACATTATTGTTCAGCTCTACATAGTGCATACTTCCATGAGCTTCCATGAGATTTGAAGCTGCAACATACCTCATACCCCATGCCTCCTATCTGAGTAACTAAAGGGCTGCACACAATATTCAGATTTAAAAGCAGATCTCCTTTTTATACCATGTATACCTGTATATAATATCCAGTGAGTGTAAGTAGCCGATGGCGCTGGCAATTTCGGCGGCATAGAATCGAGCCCTGGGTTCAGGGAAGCATCTCTCTCTCTGCAGATGGAAGAACAGCTCACCACCGTTGATGTAGTCAAGGACAAAGTACAGCTTGTCGGGCGTTTGGAATGAGTAGTGGAGGGAAACCAGGAATGGATGCTTGAGGTTCTTCAGAAGGACATTTCTTTCAGCCATGATGTGCTTTTGCTATTGGAAATAAAAGTAGATAAAATAGAAAGTATTGTTACATGTACCTCTCATACATGTACATATTTATAAAGCTGAATGCACTGATTTTATTGATGAATATATTGACATGTTAGCAAAGTAAAAACAGCTAACCTCCAGACACATGATTTGTGTAGGCCTATGAACTCCCATCTGGTCAGTACTACTATGTTGTAGTATTCAAGGTTAGCCCCTAGACTCCCACTAATATAGGCAACAGTAGATATCACAGGTCTAGTTTTGGTACCATACCTTTATGTCAAAACTTTTCAACTTTTTTAATCACTTGATAACAAAGCTAATAATATGTATAAGATGTAATAAAACAAATGCAACATAGTCCTATAGAGTGAAATTGCTTGCTCGTAAGTGTTGGTAATATTGACTACCTGCTGACCCAAAGTAGAGGGAGATAGTTGTGATCAGCTAATGCCGTGGGACCGGACAAGAAATTTTGCACTACTTTCCCTAAAACCATGACGTATAAACATAAGGCAAGAATCTTGAATGGCTAGACACTGCAGGATTGATTCCTACCTCATTTCTTTGCATAATGGCTTTCTTTTCCAAGACCTTGACAGCGTACACCTTGTCCACGTGTTTGTGTTTGGCCAACAGCACCTTGCCAAAGCTTCCCTTGCCAATGACTTTAAGGAAGTCAAAGTCACTCGGTCGGGCTCTGAAAACCAGAAACAAAGGACAGATCAATCATATGTTATTCCTTCAAAAGAACTTTTGAGACACTATTGTAAAAGATTTCAAAACAGCATAAAAAGACATTCAATTTTTTTATAGGGTATTTTTATACGCTAAAGATGTATCTCAGGACAAATCTACAGGCCTAGGGGACTACCATCACCATGTTAGACAGCTCAGTATCTGCTCAAGACTTATTAACCATGCATGACATAACCAACTACATGAATGTCCACACAAGTACCCATCAGCCTTTAATCCACAGTTTGCTTGTGCCTATTGCCAAATCCAAGAGAACGAGTGACAGAATTCTGGAAACTCTTTTTCCGTAGTTTGTTTTAAGCGGTGACCTTGATCAACATGTTACGGTGGCCAAACTTTTGTACATGGAATGAACGTAGACTGATCACAGCAATAAGCCATCTGCAAAATGCTTTGTGTTCCCTTCACAACATTTTTGACACGAAATCCACTTCATGTGGGCCCTACAGACTTGGGTACAGAAGCTCAATAAGAAAAAAAAAACCCCAAAACACCCTCAAAAATTCTTACGAGGGATTTGCAGAGGGCCCAAGGTTGATAGTGTTTGGATCTTTGGGATCGCTGAAGTATTCTGTGTTGTTCTCATCAATGACATTGTTATCAGAGCTGTTACGAGGATCATCTAGGGACAGGAAACTTTGAACGTCCGGTCTGTTGAAAAAGAAAAGAGAAAAATATATAAATCCATCTGTGTCAATATACATGTCAACCCAAAATGCATGTACTCTATAAACAACGATTTGCCTTTCCTGCATGAGGGCGCTAGACGGAGTAGATGCCTTACTAATTTCTTCTCATCGGAACCTCAATTATCTATGCTGATTTTACCCGATCAGATCCTCTCACTTCACCCGATCTTCTATACATTTGCTTGGTATAGGACATAAACGGCACATACAAGTACAGTGTATGCGATCTCTGGAACCGTAAGTGATGTGAATTGATTGAAATTTGTATCTTGAGATTTTCCCACTCTGGGGTTCTTGAGTTCGATCTTGCACCGGTGCTGACTTGGTGTATTACATCACCTGAACAACAGATCACACAATGGGAGCAACCCTAAGAATGCACTTGTCTCCTTTATTACGGCTGATCATCGCCATCATCAGTACGTCCTCACCTTCTAGGACCATCTTTGCCAATATCGCCAACATCAGCGTACTGGACCAAGACCATGAAGACCATGAAGGCCACTGAATCCCTCGAAAGAAACTATGATAGATGCATCATCATTGGTGATGTTGACCTCTCCGCCTCGCACACATCATCTTCCCATCAAACTCAACTTCTTGGCATTGCTGCTGATTTCAACCTGGATCAACTAGAGACGTCAATCAGTCACGAGATCCAATCCAAACTGTCCCAGTGAAGGTTCCATCATTGATCTATTTTTTTCATCAATCATGCTGACCACCTTTTGTCTGTTTCCAACGTCCCCAATCCATAAATCTGATCATTTTGCAGTCAAGGTTGCACAAATGTATACTTCCCTCCACTCAACCTCCCCCCTCGTCCAGCGGTACTGTAAACTCTACATGGAGACTTTCACCATCTACGGCAGTTACCGGTAATTCATCTCATTCCCTGGTCTGCCTTTATCAACTCCAGTGACATCAACCAGTCAGCTGACAACTTTCTGGACTTGTTTGATGCTGCGATCAGAGATTCCATCCCCAGGGTCACCAAATGCAGACCACGATGCTCACCCTGGATCACTCCGGAACTCAAGAAACTCATCAATAAGAAACATAAACTCTTCAACTTAGCTCGTAAATCTGGCCTCTTAGCTGATTGGAATTTGTACAAATCTGTTCCTTATAATGTACATGTATGTCAAATATATTGTTTGAGTCTGATGATAAGAGACGTCAATTCTGGTCATTTGTTAGAAACCGTAAACAGTCACCTCCTCCACCATCATTTAACCATATCAACCGTAAATTGACCCATCCTGATACAATTACTTCAACTTTCAGTGATTTTTTCCCTCTGTGTGTAAACCTGCCTGTCCAGTTCCCCACAACACTCCTCCTTGCTCGCTTCCCATTCCTTGCCCATCGCATATTGATGTTGCTGCAGGTCAAATTGCTGCTTTGCTCCGAACACTCCCCTTCAAACAATCTCCTGGACCTGATGGTATATTACCCAGTATATTCTTCATGAAATTGCCCCGGAAATATCTCATCCTCTCAGTTTGTTGTTTGGTGCATCACCGAGTGCGGGAGTATTATCTGACACCTGGCGATGTGCCAATATAACACCTGTTCTCAAAAAGGCTGACAAATGTTTGTTGGCCAATTATAGGCCCGTCATCTGACATCTTTGTTGTAAACTTCTCGAGCGGATTATCTCTGTAGCCTTTAATGACCGTTTAACCACATAAGCCTGTTTGATACCCATTTATTTTTAAATCGGAATATCGTGAAAAAAATATCGGATATCGCGATCTTATCGTGATGACATCATTTTTCCATTCATAGAACAATGGAATAAACAAAAAACATGACCGAAGTCACCATCCACTGCCGTGAAAAATAACCTGATAGTCCTGATGGTCCGAAATGTCAATTTTATTTGACTACTAGTCTCATTTATTTTGCCAATAATAAGTAGAAAACAAATTCCACATTCAAATATTGAAAAAAATTACCTTGAAATGTTTGATAAAAATGGACAAAATAAAAATATCTCATGAAGAAAGAACGAAGCACTAGCACGCAACGCACGCCGCACTGATACAGCTCACACCATTTGTTGTCAAGGGTGTGCTTCCTTAAAAACAATTTACCCCTATGTCCACCTTTCAAAATTACAAATAATATTTTTTTTGATGGAGTCCGAAATATTTCCTTGTTCAGAAAAAATTCTTCATCGTTACAAACTCACAAAATATTTTTTTTCTAAAGAATTTATTCGAAAAACGATGTTAACTCCAAAAAAGAGGGTGAAGCACCCCTTTACAAAATTAATGGATCCGTCCATAGATTTCAAGTGATGAAGTTTTTGAATGAAATTCACGATTGAACAGTTGATTTCGACGTATTTTGTTGCTGAAAATATGAATTGATTTCATAAGTTTGGCACAGTTTTGGCACTAAGCAAGTGTTAAGTGCCCGAGCACAACCACGGAAGAGACGGAACGAGTCAGGAAAATACATGCAGGAAAATTTGATCTAGTTCGCCGTAGTCGGCCCGCAATTTTTTCTCCCAAACGGCATCCGCATATGGGTGTACGCTATAGCGTTTTGGACTTAGAAAAAATAGAAGAAAATATAAAAAAAAAAAGATTAATTCGAAAGTTATGAAATTCGGACTTTATTTCCCGTTTAAAAAAATCCTCCGAAGCCTCAGGTTAGAAAATTAAAAAAAATCGTGTGCAAAACTGAGATTCGAACCCGCAACCTCGCGGTGCAAAATCACAATATTGTATCGACTGAGCTGTCGCACTGCTCGGTGAGGTGGAGGGAAACAAATAATCATATACCTGCGTGCATACGTATCATAAAAGTATCGTTGAGGGTGCTAAACAACCATGTGGTATGCGGATCTCGTTTAGGAAAGCTCCCTGGCTGCGCTCGCGCCGAAACGAACTTCTTTACAGAAAAAGATGTCTGCAAAATCACCCCAATTGAATCGTTTTAAGAATAAGCAGTGTTCTATATGAAACATGTCCGTCAAAAATAAAACAGGCACCGTATTTTCTTTGCGAAAAGTCAGAGAATTGTTTCCCTTCGGCTAGCTTACATGCACGTGATTACGTTTTCACTTGGTAAAGTTGGCGGAATTGAGAACAATCTTGTTCAAAAGATGGTCTGGATTGTGTTGTTTGTACTGCCACGTGGACGACGCAAAATCCAATACACATGATGTTAGTCATTTGGTTCCACCCCTTAATATAGGTGGGTAAGATTGCGGTACAATGCGGTAACAGTGAATTTGTGGTTTGCGGTTTTTCGTGGGAGCACTTTAGTGGCTTTATTTGAACTGAAGCTGGACTTTACAAAAGCAGTACTACAAAAGAATATCGCGATATTTTTCGGCATATCGAATTCCAGGATGTGCTGATTTTTTTTTAAGAGATCGATACGATTTCCGATATGAAAATTAAATCGAAATATCGTGAAATATCGTCAAACCGAACAGGCTTATAACCACATTTGATCTCCTCTACCCTAATCAACACGGTTTGTGAAGCACAGAAGCTGTGACACCCAGCTGGTCAATATTATTCGTTCTTGGTCATCCACTCTGGACGGACGTCGTCCTCCAAGAACAGATGCCATTTTCCTAGACATGTCTAAGACGTTTGACACAATGCTGTACCATATCCTTCTTGAGAAGCTGGCAACAACATTCAAATTGCAGGGTACCGGTAAGTTGCGGCATCGGGTTCCATCGTGTTTGACCGGTCCCAGTCAACGGGTCCTCTTTCAGGGCACAGTGTCCCTGTGGGTGGAAGTTACTTCTGGCGTACTCCAGGGTAATGTACTTGGTCCATTATTGTTCAACCTCTTTGTCAATGACATATCCAAATCTATTTCCTCCCATTGTATTTTTTTGCTGTTGATATTCTCTAATATGCAATCCCATACAATGCCCTGATGATGAGCTTGAGCCTCAGACAGATTTAAACAGGCTTAATTGCTGGTGTGACGCAAACGACATGACCTTCAATGCTGGTAAAACTAAAGTCACACATATCACTAGAAGCCGTCACATCAACCCTCCAGTCTATAATCTAGGAAATATCCCTCTCAACAATACCAACTGTGTAGAATACCTGGGTCTCACAATAGATGCTTAAGTCAGCTGGGCGACACACACTGCCTCAATAGTATTTAGTTAAAATCGTCATATCTCACATCACAGCAGTCAACAATCATTAACTGTACACAGGCAATGGTCGAACCATTATCAGATTGTGTCAGCTACTGTACTACTCCATCAAGGTTATTCTGAACAATAAATTGCACAGCACTTCCACCATTACTAGGGGCTCCATAAAGAGAGATTCTGTGCCTTGATTTATCTCTTATACCACTCATCCTCTATGTGATAAACACAGAGCTATTTAATGCTTCAGAAGTCTGTACTTACAGTTTCACAATCTTTGGGTTGGTGATAATTTTCTGGATGAAGTCATGGAGACCCTCACGACGCTGTCGAATAAACTCCGGGTCAAAGTTATTGCCAAAGAGTTTCTTGCCTGGCAACTTGAGGTCAGCCTCTGGAAACTTCTTCTTGAGCTGAGATGAGGAATTTATGGGCAAAGATGGTACATGTATTAGATCTGTTAACATAGAAACTTCATCACACTTCCACTCACTATCGTTGGGATATTGTACAGTGTTAGATTTTGGCTGATTGCAGGCAGAAATTTAAGAACACTGAATGGACGGCATGTATGCACGGTAGATGGTTTCAACTGCTCAGTTTGGAGGGACGGTGTGACACCGCGTGTGCGCACTGGTTTGCGCATGCACGGGGGACATCGCATGGCTAATTTTATTGTAAGTGCACACAAAGCCATGGCGTCTTCACGTGAGCATCAGGTACATGTATCATCAGCAATGTGCTTGAATATCCCTCCCAGTGGTCTCTCCCAACTCTCCCCTTGGAACCATTGAGGGGGTACTTGCGCACGGAGTCTATACAAAAGCTCGTGAAAAAATATCATATATTGCTACAGGAATGCAAAACGGACTCATGTAGGCCTACTGTACCGGGATAATTGTTTCCAACTAACTTTTAAGAGGGAAATATTGGAAAAAGTCTGGGAAGAAAAACCACCGAGATCTAATTTTGCCCAAACTTGAAATTATATTGACACCATTGCATGTCTAGAACCAGAGCTGCATATAGAGAGAGTTGCGACAACTTCAGACAGTTGAACCTTAATGGCCGTTCATTATGTGTACAGTGCAGGGTGCGACTATTGAATTACAAGTACGGTGTATGCACTGATGCATAATCCGCCATTTTGGTTCCAAACGGTGTGACCCTTATGTCGCAACTCTCTCTACATATAAGGCTCTGTCTAGAACTACCGGTAAAGGAACAATCCAACCAACTAAAAAAGTATTGAGCTACTGGTACTTGAATATACATTGTACATCAAATAATAAAGAACGTGAACCACAAATCTGAATATATGCTATTGCCACAATAAACGTAAGCCAATCCACAAATCTGTACACTTTCATTTTAGTTAATATTCATACTACATGTCACTTGCATTAGATAAAAAAAAATTGGAGAATTAAATATTTTTGGACAAATCTTTCTTGACTCACCATCTCATAGAGTTTGTGGAATTCATTGTATCGTCTGAAGATGAACCATGTCTTGCCTCCCGTTACCACGACAACCTTGTATACCTGAAAAGCACAGTAGAAATAATTACACCATGAGAATGAATGATCAGATGCCAAGGAGTACATGTACATGTATGCCTTTGAACACACACATTTGGTGCCTTACGGTACTTTCCACTAAACACACTGTTGGGTTATTACTAATTTTGGAAATACATATATTGTACAGAGAGCTGTAAAAACCACTTGACCATCTTGTAATGTTTGGTACTTAAAATAATAATCCAAGCACAACTGTGTTCAACGGTGTAGTTTCTCAAAAATGATGTTTGAGTATAATGTGCAATGAACATGTAAGTCATCATATTTTTTTACCACAGCATAAATTGGCCATCACTTTTGACTATAAATTTTACGCTGTACCTCAAATGTCCTGCATAGTTGAGTTGATAGTGCTCATGATTGACATAATCACTGGTGCACTGTCACTGATTTGTGCGGATTGATGTTGCAATGGCACACCATCTTTATAGAATTTTCTTTGCAATGAACATGATGAACCCTTGTCACTATCCTTTTTGTATCCCCCCTACTGTTTGGAGGGGGGGGGGGGGGAAGGAGGAGGGGGAGGGGGATGTGTCTGGGGGGTCTGCACACACTCTGACTATAAAGGGTTGTTGTGCCGGTTTTTTGGGGGGTGGGGGGGTGGGGGGGGGGGAACATGGCCCCAACCCTATGAATATTTTACAAGCTTAGCACGGCACCAAACCTTACATGCATGCAATTCTTAACTACACCCTTAACAATCCAGCTCACATGTACAGTATGCTCATCACGAGCTTCCTTCACAGTATTAAGAGATTATTTGCAATTTATCTGGATGTTTGTCACATTTCAATAATGATTAAGTTAATCAGTTTAAAATAAGCATTTCATTAATCCACTTACGGCTGTCCCGAATATCCTGAATATTTGATCATCATCCGAATATTCCAATAGCTTTTAACCGTTTCGAATACTGGCAAAAAAACACCCCAAAAAACAATAACGCAAGTATGCACACGACTGTGTTGTTATTTAATCATAAAGTTGCGGAGCTTTAGTGTCGATATTAACTTTGTTTGTCAACTTTTTTTGTCAATGGTGGTTCATTGTTCTTAACCTCTTAGCATGTTAAATCCCTTGACAGTAAAAAAATACTTATTGTAAAACACCCTAGCCGCCCCTATCATCAAACACTTACGCAAATTGTAATCCGAGCGCTTTGCGTGCAACTTTTGACCGGTGCGGCACATATTTGCAGCTTGCACGTGTAAATTTGATCAGCAAGTTTCCAATATTAAAATGTTTGATCAAATAGTTTGAATAATTGAATACTAAGTTGTTCGAAAATGAACAGCCTAATTTATCCACTTAAATTTTGCAGTAAGATACCGGTCCATTATTATTGGCCAAATGAAAAAAAAAGGTTGATAATACATACATGTACGTACATGTACCGGTACATGTGTATGTGCCGCTGCGGTACATGTATTCATGTGCAGAACATGTATTTTAATGAAATTGTTCTCTCATACCTACATATATTCACACACACCGTTCAAAAGAAGAACGGTAACTGTATACAGATATCTGAAGTGTAATATGAATACTGGTGTCCAATTTATTGCATCTCAGCATGCAGGGCACTTCTTGCTTTGCCCGCGTGGGCTTGTACACAGTACGCAATGAAAGGTCTCAAGAAACTTGATCCTAATTTCAACAGCGCAGTACTACAATAATCTCCGAATAACTGCAGTTATCACAACCACGCTGTAATTCTAGTCAGCCTGGGACCCATGGCAGGTGACATCCGGTATTTTTCTCGCTGGCATTTTTTTCCACAGTTCTCCAGTAATTCACAGCATTTATTGGGCTTAAGGGTCCTTATCTTATTACATTTTATGAAGTGTAGCACAGCTGTTATCCATCATTGACAAAATGGGTACTAAGCAATTTTAAGATTCTTAAAATAGCAAGGGACACAGTATGATTTAAGTATTCTTCAAATCTCATACATGATGTCTGCTTCAAGAAACTTCAAGAAAAACAAACGCCATGAAAAGACCTGTATCGTGTTGACAACATGAAACAGACACTTCAAATGTTTAAGAATTATTTGTAGTTTGAAACTTTTTATTTCTTAACTAAAAGAAAATAAGAAGATATTTTTTCCAAAAATAAAGTTTCTCTACATTCCAGTCAATTTTGCCAGAATTCTACAACTTATCTTAACTGGACCATGTCCATATCCTAGCCAAGTTTATTTGTTGCAGCCCTTCCTTGCCATTTTAATGCATCACCTACATGTACGTACATTCTGTATGCCTCACCTCACCTACTGCTATATCACCTGTAACACTTAACCCTCCTGCTATTTAAACAGTCACAGCCAGTCAAAATTTCCATCCACTTCCCCTGCTATACTTTTAACACAGGCTAGTCACTAGCAGTCAGATCATGTCAAGCAAGCACTGTGACTAGTCAAACTCAGTCAACAGACCATGAACAGACAAAGCAGGCACGTTGTGGTCACAGCTACCGCTACATGTACGGTAGCTTTATCAATCACCCGGAGTTAAAGCATAGCTGTATCAAGTTACTTAAACAGTCACAGCCAGTCAATCCTGCTTTATATACGCTGAGAAATTTAACTATTGAAAACAGTCACTTGATTGATTTTGACTGAAAGGACTACTGGTATTTGGCACAGAATGTGTATGTTTGCATAGTTCACATAGAAGGGAATAATGAGGTCTTACAGTTATACATGCACACTGTAACCACTATAATACTATTTAATTTTTGTGTAGACATTTCGAGCATGGGTTGGCAGGCCTTAGGGCTACAGTGTTTTAGTACACTTTTGTTTACCCTGGCCGGTTTGGAATGTTATATTGTCCTTGTTTTCTGTCCCTCTATCTCCTCTCCCCTGTCAAACTGTCCACCCTCCCTTCCCTCCCCCTCCCCCGACCCATTCCTACTCGCATTCTTCAGTCTTGTCTGGTCTTACTTTTCAATTTCCATTTTTTGTTTACTTTTTACTTTTTATTTGCTTTGTCATTGTTCTTTTGTTCATTTGTTGGCCGAATAAATAATAATAATAATAATAATAACCCTTGAACAATGTACACATTCACTGGAACAGACATCAATAGCAAAGACTTGTTATGTGTAAATCAGGACACTTCACTTGATTGGATCAGCAACCCACAGAGGAAATCTCCTTAATTCAATTTACACACACCCTGCTTCTGTTTAGTCAAGACTGGGACAATATCTTGAGACATTGAGTACATGCGTATATGCCATCCAACTAAATTTGAAAAGATCTAAACTAGAATTTAGAAGGGTGTAGTATCCTGTACATATGCAGATACATGTAAAGGGGTCAAAGACAAAAACACTTGTAACCCAGCAATTTTCATAAGAAAAAGGGAATTTTAAAGGATAAAATGATCGTAATCCTTTGAAGCACATGTGTATTTGTACATGTACCGGTACTGCATGTTCTTTAAATAAAAAAAAATAAAAAAAGTGAAAATATTTAATATCAACAGTTCTTGTAATTGGTCACATCTCAGTCATGACATGTCTGTCCACGAAAATGGCAAAAAGTTCATTTTGACCACATGTACAAGACGTGCCATTGGTATTGCTACATGTACTCATACAGGATCCTAGGCCACACACTTCAACTACATGCAGAATAACACCTCTTGACATTTCTGAGATACACTGTTCAATTAATTGTAATATTCAATTCAGAGCAGAAATGACGCCAAAGAAACCACGCAACTGCTCGCAAATATCCTGTGTGACATTTGCCAGCGAGAAGTGCATCTGCTGAAAGTACTGGTACACTGTATGGAAACTGGCTGTTTATAACACGTCTGTTTGTCCGTACATACATCGCCATTACAAGTGTATAATTGCACATCATTATTCCATGTTGAGCATCGCTTCTTTGCATGATTCATGTGCCTGAAGTACTTGACTATACTGTGTTACAAGTCATTGTCATAGAATTGTCTTTGTCATTTACAGTCTAGGGACCTGCAATGAAAATCATATGAATGACTGTTAGATGTCTGCAGTAGATCACTTTTGCTGTTATCGAAGCAAACAAGACACGGCACTTGAAATGTTGAGACTCTAACCTACCTTACATGAGTCACTTTACCTTGCTTAATTCAATAGACAGCATATAAAAGACGGTATCCCATAATGTAAATGTGAGGTGTTCTGGCAAAAGAGACAGAACTGCAGGTTGAGGTCCAAATGAAGTTTTGCAGATATTAGGAAAGAGAATAAAATTCTCAATGCAATACTGTTTGTTACACTCCAATCAGATACTCTGTTGAAAACTTATTGTTGTTTAAATTTCACGTTTATTGGAATGTCAAAAAGTAAAGTACTGAGAAAATCGCCTTTAAACTTTTGGGCATTGTAGTCGTGAAAAGAAAGATGCCAATTGTTTTTCCTTAAAAACACTTTTATTCCACGATTTTTTTTACATGTACAGTATTTCTTTAAAATATGTGCAATGGACATATCGAAGACTGCAAATATCAATCAATCAGTACATTGAAAACAAAAAAAAGTCCCCCCCCCATTCAGGTGTTAGCATTTTTCTCCACTTTACGGCCTGTGCCCGGTTCCGTCTCATTTTGCCAGAATGCCTCACAAAGATGTTTTGAGTTCCTTGGATACAAGAACTGGTACCCCACTGAACTTGCCAATTATACAGCTTTGAGCCTCAGGAGTCTGGGCGTCTTTTGGATCATCAATTTGGAATTCGAATACACTGTTCAAGTTGATGCTTAGGAAAAATAACAGGTGGAGCATCCTGTTTCAGTTAACCAGTTCAGGCCAGGATTATTTTTGACAAGAACGGAACGAGGTGCGGGATTACATCTCACTCGACCTCAAGCCAGGTGGTTTGAAGCCATCATCCTCGGGCAGTACACTCATAAAATGTCCGGCCTCGCTCGCTGCGAGCGGGCCGCTGACAGATAATTCCT